AGGCCTTGATGGAGAGATGTGGCACTAGCCTGGGGGCTCGCTCCACTGTGAGGGTAGTTAGCTTACTGCACACCGCCATCATTAGGGACTAGGGCACTTGTGCTGGGAAGGTGAAACACAAGCCTACATTCAGACAGCAGCACATGCACGCAACATCTGTAAATATGCTGCACTTCTTCTCTCCGGGTGCTTCTGCTTCATAATCGCTGAGACTAAAGTCACCATATGAAGCGCTGTGAAATGCAGAACTGAACAATAAGCGCTCCTGATGACGGCGAGGCTGTCAGCGAACTTTCACAGTGAGATGATGAAGACGTTTAAGTCCTAATCCATGCAGGTCATCCAGGTGTTCGCAGCTCGTGTTCTCATAAACTGGGATGAGGAAGAAGAAAAATTCAGAGAACATCAGTCAGCGGTCAGAGCTGGTCGGACAAACCTGTTGCTTATTGACTCGTCCAGCAGACACAGAGCTGCGTTAGCATCCATGTGGAGCTGTGCTTCTCCATCTGAGTATAAGTTTAAAGGCTTTAGAACAGCGAGAGGCAGCAGCAGGTCCTAACATCTGAGAAGAGACACGTCACAGCCGTGACCCGTGTGCTGCACCTTCCACCTCATGAGTCCTGGTCTGGATCACTGGATCACTGCTGTCTGGTCGGCCTTTAGCTCGTCACCTGAGAGGAGGCTCCCAGTGTTCTCTGGTGTGCCATGATACCGTCTCTGCTCTCAGCTCTGTGTCGCCGCCCTGCTGTTGTCCCTGCCTGACCTCTGGCCTCATTCAACACACACTGTGGCGTTTGATTTTAAAGAAGCGTTTATGAGAGAGACTGAAGCTGCAAAAGGAGACGGGCTCTCCATGTTCTGGTCTGAGTTGCTGATTTTTTCCTCCCAGCGCTCCCCTCTGTGTACCGGATCGCTGCTTTCACCGTCGCTCTCATCAGAATCTATTGTAGTGAAATACACACAATATGGCCCTTATGGATCCAAAATCTTTCTGATTAAAGCCGGCCTTGTTGCTGGCACACCACAGGATAGTCCTTTAGGAAAAGCATTGTGCACCAAATTGTACCAAATTTCCCCCTGTGTGGTAGCCCCTATTTATATCTGGGATAAAAGGGACTCTTTCATATGGGAGGGAAGAGAAAATCTCTGGAAATACCTACCTTTCATGTGCCTCATTTTGTTCTTCAAGGTTATAGGACAATTGTTAGTGAATAAAGAGTGGGATGGTTCTTTCAACAATAGTTTTAGAATAGAAGCAGATATTTAGTCTACAAGTTACTCACTGTATGAATTCAAATTTATGAAAACAAGAGGCTTTGAGCATCAAAAGCTAATGACATATGAGAATAAGGAATCGCTAATATTTCTAAAAGCAATGTTTTTTTTTCGTTCTTGGCTCCTGCGAGCCAAGAGGTCTTTTCCTTATTTTCTCTTTTTTATCAGACACCTTGTATTGAGCTGAAGCTGCATAAATCAGGTGTTTTTTTCCACAACACAGAGCGCACAGCGACAACCTGAACCAAAAGCTCTACACATAAATGTGTATCGGGGGATCAAAGGTGAATCAGATATCAAAAATAGCTTCATACTTCCATTTACTAATTTCATTTAAATCCTCCTCTAACGTTTAAAAAGCCTTTGTGTTTGTTTCAGCTCGTTTGGGTCCAGTAACGGCAGCCCGGACCCTCCCGGGCTTCTGTCGGCTCAGCAGCATCGTCTCACTGACGTTAACGTGGAATTTGGCTGCTTCCTGCACTCTGCGTCTTTTTCTTTTGCTTTGCAGAAACCACTCTGGAGGCCTTTGACCTGCAGCGCAGCACCACATGAACGTCCTGTTCAGGAGGAACATCAGCGTGTGTTTTAATACCTTCTCCTTTATCACCTGTACTGTGGAGCGCAAACTTATCGTTATTATTGACATGACCCCAGAATCTTTTAATTCTCGGTATCTTTTTTTTTTTTTTTTTATTTCTTTCCTACAATCCTGTAAAAATCAATTTCAATCGAAAATTTTCAATTTCATGCCATGATCAGGGTCAGGGGTATACATCTCTCTCTTTTTTTTTTAAATAACATCCAAAACAATGTCTTTTTGTGTCTTGTTTGTTGTAACCAAGGGGACATATTTAATGTTTTGCAATGTTTTCTGATTTGTATGCTTGCCTGGAGCGATGGCCTTCAACATTGTTCCTCCATGCCACACTGACATCAAAACACGTCATTTCTCTACTCAGGTATACAAAGCCTTCCCTCCTTCTCAGAATGTAATAGAACCATCACGGATGCTTCCACGTTATACGTCGCTAGTCGGTTTATAGTTCAAGGGTATATCCCACACAAATGCATTAAGTGTGCATACTGTAGACATCCAAAGGGAACAAAGGAGAGTCCCGCATTTGATGATCACAACTGAACCCTTGGTTTCAGCTCCTCTGTGCTCCGTATTCACTCCATACATTATGGCCATGTTCAAGTACAGCGTGCTCGCTGTATTTCAGCTACACTTTAATACTTTTGCGCTGTTTGCTCGGCTACTTTGTAGATATAAGCAAACTTCAAATAAATAAGAAATCAATGCTGCTCTCCTCAGTGTAAGGAGTGAATCCATAAAATGTTGCTCTGACTTGCGAGCATGTACACAGACGCTGTTTTCTTGCAAAGCTGTTGTTGATCCATTGAGAACGTCGTGTAAGTCGAGACCAGCTCAAAACAAACACGGGCTGCTGTGACTGAAATATAATGTCGGAGAGTTGTTTCTCAAATTTGTACACAGAATTCCTCACGCAGATCTCCAGCGGAGGACGTGAAACCATATTCAACTGTGATGCACAATTAAAACATCCAGCAACCTGCTGCTGAAGGCCTCCCCATGCAGTCCCAACACAGACCCTTGGTACCAGGTACCAGCCCCGGTGCCACCAAGGAGAAGCTGAATCTAAATGTTCCTCCATAAGCTCCACAGCTCCACACAGACAGAAACAAGGGGACAGAAGTTCCCAAACGGGATGAGAGGAGTTTCACCTTATTGTTAATGAAGCATGAAGGTCCACTGGTACGCGCTGAATGGATTCAGGTCATCAGCTTCCAGCTTTGTTCTGCAGGCTTCTCATTTGTGCTGCTCTTTACTCGCCACCACTATTTCTACAAATGTAGACACAATGCTGTCGTCTTTTGTTGATGCGCGACACTGAAGCTCTTGCTCGGCGCTGCAGACAGTTCAAAGCAAATGCAAGGTTAGGTATGCGTTTATGCAGCATGTGGATCTCCATCGATCTGGGATGTTCAGCACAACATTAGCTTTGACTGAATTTATTCTGCGCCTGATGAAGGATGCTGAATGCACGGCGGCGTCCTGCTCGCTGTTTGTCTGCTTGGCCTTGTGTGGTTTGTCGTGTTTGTGTCGAAAGCGAGACTCGATCTGGTGCATGTGGACTGAACAGACGTACTCTGAACGCGGCGTTTCATTAACTGAAGTGCTGCACGATTTGTCTCCACGAAGCGTCCTGGACAGAAAATCGATTAAAACACAAAACAATGATCATTATTATGATGGTAATAAAAAGGCTGCTGCTGTCCATGGATACGTAACGGAGCCGGCGCCGGTACGACGGGGAAACGTGAGCAGTCCTCCTGCAGAAGGCGATCATGAGAGGACGACAACTAGATTTACTTTGACAGAAATCTAGCAGCCAGAAAAATCGATTCCTCCAGTTTTGTCTTTTCTTTGTTTTCTTGCTTTTACAAGGCTGACTGTCCTGCAGACTACGAACATATATACATCCCTACGTTAGTGGTGTTTTCTGTTTTTAACTGTCACCTCAGAAGAAATCACTGTCCTGCTTTGGCCAGCGTTCAGCCTGATGCTGCCTTAAAAATCCTGTAGCTGTTGAAGGTATTAGGTGCAGCTTTGTGTCTCTGATGTGAGTTGCGATCATGAATAGCTTATTAAAGATCAATAAAGAACACTAACAGGAGGACAGATTGCTGTCAGAACCACATTAATTAGATTTAGGGAGAATGCAAAGGTCCCTGTTAGAAAGTGGAGCTGCTAACAGAGGAGACGGATTCCTGAAAAGCAGGTTTAGTGTGTTTTTTATGATCCTGGTGTTGTTGAGGATGAGTTTCATTTTGCATTCCTTGGCCTTTGTGCAGCGACTTGTTTGTTTGATCAGATTCAAGTGAAGAATCCTGATTTGTTTCAGTCGTCTGAGGCCGACGTGTGCGGTTGTTTTTTTAATGGGGAGACTTGTTGTGGAGAGATTTCTGGAAGGCTGAGACAGAGGACGCTGAATTCAATAAAAAAAGTGCATCTCTGAACACGAGCACATTTCAGAGCAGTTTGCATAATTGGAGGTTCTGAAACATTCTCTGGAACCGGTCCGGCTCTACGCTACGACTCGTCCTGCAGGTTGTTTGGTGTCTCGTGAGCCCGTCGGGTCCGGCACCAGGAAGTTGCTGAAATCTCAAATCAAATATTAATCAAGTGATCTCAGTGATCAAGTGAAGTGACGTCCTCACAAAAGGTTGATTTCATTTCCACAACACCCAGCACACGTCCACTGGAATCTGGTTTGTCGTTTCTTTCAGAGCAGGTCCAGAAGTCTGCTGTTTGAGGCTAATTAGGGTTTTTAGTGAGTCAGTTTGAAGCGAAACAGTGATCGTAAGATGAACTGAGAAGCTGACAACTGCCTGAAAAATGATTATTATGTTTAGCATCTATGAAAAACTCTATTTTTTGGGGCATTGAACAAACACAGCAGCACTAATCTGCCCGTCTCAGACGGTTTCTGGCTTCCTGTTGGTGGCTACACCACTAACCTCTGCTTTAAAAATAATAACGACGTCTTCAGTAATATTTCCAAATTATGCCCAATTATTTGTGGATTCTCTGTTAAGCAGCTGAATAAGAGCTGCTTGCCGAGACGCTGGTTAAAGCTTTTTTTTTTTTAAAGGTCCTTGCACCTGCCAGCGAGGCTCCGAATAAAAGGAAACCACAGATGTGCACATACTAAGTTGCTTTTATTAATACAGAACTGCATGCTACAGAGACTGTACAGCATAAACATTTATTCATTACAAAAAAACATGGTTTTAGAACCATTTAAAATAACAGGAAAAAACAAACAAACAAAAAGATAAGAGCATAAAATAGAACAGGAACATCACAGCCGTTAAGGAAACATTCAAACTATTTATCATTAGCATCTTAATAAACCAGAGAAGAAATCGACAGATTACAGTCGCGTCATGTCAACTACAATGGCACCGAGTGGATGATTCTCTTGTAGCTTTTTTACAGCCTCTTGCAACATCAACATGCCTATTTTTTCTATCTACCTATATGTAGTAGTGTACTTAAAAGTGGCAGTTTGTGTATTTTTTTGTATTTAATAGTTTTTTTATGAACCTCCTAATATACATAATTTGGCCCTTGTGGGTTTATACAGTATGATGTCCGTCTTTTTATTAAGTTTAAATTTTAATATTTGACAATTTGCTACCAAACACATTTGTTATAGCAACATTTATACTACATACATAGCAATCTATGTAACGTCACAGCAAAGAATGGTATCCAAATAAAAAACAAACAAACAACAACAAAACAAAACAAAAAAACAAATAAAAAATAAGAGAGAGAGAGATCCCTACAGCGTGGTTAGGGGGGCAGAGAAAATTATCACAAAATTTGGCACGGAAAATCTGTACACGAATCTACAGTCTGAGATGTGACTGTGCAATAAAAAAGAAGGGCTTCAGACACGTTTCCAACCACTGAACACACGGAACCCACTGCCTCGAGTTTCAAGTTTTTCTTTTCTTCTTTTTGTAAAATGGCTTATAGACGCATTTCTTGAAATGAAGTTGTGCATACTTCTGTTCATGAGATCTACACAGTACACTGAGTGGAATCCAGGTTGTTGTTTTCAGCGAGGAAAGAAATCCATAACAAAAGATTAGCCTTTTAAAACCTCCTTGTAAAAATGGATCATTCATATAGTTGCTTAACCTTAAGAAAAAATATTTGTACAATGTATTAAGAAAAGAAAAGTCAAAAAGAGACACGTACAAGATACAACAAGCAATCTCTAAAGCAATAAATACTACTGGTCCTAGCGTTGTGACATTTGAATTTAATAACCCGCAACCCTCCCACCCGAACCTCCCCTCACCCCACCCGACCTGCTGACTCCACCCCAAAGGTAAACGACAAAGAAAAAAGACAACGCAGTGGAAGAATGCATATTTAACACAGTAATCCCCTCCCTCCCCGTTATTCTGTACATTTAAACAAGAACAAGTAACATCACAATTAAAGTCGTTCCTCAGAGAGGTGCCACCGCGAGCCTCGTGCCCTCCCAGAGTCTGAACAGATGTCAAATGATTGGTTCGCAAGCTCGTATTTAATACAAATAAAGAAGGAGAACCAACTCTTTCAAGAAAAGGGCTCATTGAATAATCTAGCCTACCTTTTTATATCCGTCTTTTAAACATTTTGAAGTTGAACTAGATAATTTTCTGTTTGCACTGTTTGAACACTACAAAAAAGACAAAAACAAAATTCATAAAAATTTTGGCAGATTCACAAAGCTATACTACAGCTCATTGTATCATTTCTTTATAATAATTAGATTTTTTTCGATAATGACGGGTCAAATATTGACCAATGAACTTTAATAAAACAAAACTAAAATTTCAAAGCCGTATGGCACAGAAACGTAAAGAGAACAGAAGAGAAGTGACGGCACGTGAAACAGAGCAGAGAGAGGGCCTACAAAGGTGTGTGTGTGCAGAGCTAAAAAAGAGGAGAGAATAGGGTCGACTATTCTATAGACTTGGTCACTAGCGACAGAGGCTGGGGGGCTGTGGAGGGGAGGAGCGAGTGGGAATGACACAGCGATGCCGAGGGCCGGGCCATTGAGGACGCCACAGAGGAGCCCGGCTGCCGCGAAGACGAGACGTCGCCGTGCTCCAGAGCTCCGTTGTGGGAGGAGGCGCCGGGCGTTTTGCTAGCTGCAGCAGAGTTTTCCAGCTGAACCAAAGATGGCGGTGGAGGCCCAGCCAGGAGGTGCGGGTGGTGGAGTGGCTGGTGGGCCGGTTTCATAGTCAGTGAGAGAGGTTGCATTTGTTCAGTCTGAGGTTTGGACTCTTTTGAGGAGGGGGAGGGAACCACTGAGGAGGGGGAGGATGGGGGGGAGTCTAGTAAGCTTCCGTCCGTAGAGGGAGGACTGGCACAGCTGCCTTCACCTTGGATGTAGCGAATGCACTTTTTTTTTCTCCTGAGGGACAAGGCAGAGGGAGAGAGCATCTTTTAGCATCTTTGAACTGCGGCGCCTCTTAGCACTGCTGCACACTTAAATGCACCTCTGGTTTGTTCTGCTTTTGTCAGATTTAGGAAGACGTTGCTTGAAAAAAGCCCACATGACGGATAACAACTGCAGGTGCATTTAAGTAGCTTCAAGCCTCGTGCTGAAGAGAGAGGTGGTAGAAATTCTCCACACACTACAATCGTCAGACAGGACGGACATTAAGGAGAAGATCACAGGTGCAGCACCTGGACAGGAAGCAGAAAGGGGGGAGGATGAAGAAGCGCACACACAAAGACATGATGACAGAATGAAGCAGACTGGATGTGGGAATCGCTGCTCTCTGGATGTAAACTCTCTGTTTGACTGCAGAGGAGCTACAGCTGGGCTCGGCCCGCTCTCTGTCTAAGCCAGCGCCGGCTCACTGGACCCTCCTGTACTTCCATCTCTCCTCCTGAGGGCGCAGCGTTTGGATGTACGAAAAAATAAAAAGTCAACCAGATCCACACTACATCGCATCTGCCCCACAGACACAGTGTGTGTGTGTGTGTGTGTGTGTGTGTGTGTGAGGGGTCAAGGCATCATGTTTGCATTCCTGCCTTGGGGTTGCGACCCTCCTCCCCCCCCGCCTGCCTGCCTGCCGAGTCCCGAGGCCAGGCCCCCGCTGCGCTCGCTGGAACCCGACGGAGGAATCGCGGGGAGGGGAGGGAGGGATGGTTGCATCTATCTGTGGTGACTCTGCTGTGCTCAGATTTGGTTTAGGGGGAATCTCTGCCCACCTCATCTTTACCCTGACCCTGGCAGTGACCCCTCTCTCAGCTCTCCACTCTATCACAAGGATGCCCGAAGGCCACGAAGTAGTGCTATTTAAGACTTGCAGGGACATGGAGTAGGTCAAAATAAAAAAAAGAAAAGGTACTGAAGAACAGTTGAGGCTTTTTGGAACACATTCGTTGATCTACTGTCTAGCTGGGGCTGCTGAAAGTGTTCCTGTAACTCTAAAGGGGACAAACTCTACACATAACAGAGAGCAGATTACTGAGAACAACAGGACGTACAGGAGGCCCACGAAGCCTGGACCACATGCTGGATGGAGGACAGGCATGCATCTCTGATGGACAGTTCAAGCACACAACACCAGACGGTACAGAACACTAGAGGAAGAGTGAGGATGAGGCTCTGAGAGGATTCTGTAGCTGTGGACGGTGCAAAGTCAAAAAAATCATTCTGCTACTACATGAATATCTGGGTTTCCATAACTGTCTGTCAAAGTGCAGCAAATGAGCTAATATCCATCTTTGAACAGACCTATTGATTTATCGTATGTGCCCGTGTATGCTATTGATTTCTGCGTCTCGGGGGAAATTACACCAGATGCATCTTTTAGGAAACGGAGCCCAGGGAGAACTTTTAACCTCTCTGCTCCTAGAATGAAGACTGCACTGTTCAGTCTCCTGATCTCCTAATATGCTGCGATTATTTAGGGATAACGGGCTGTTTTAGGTAATGGGTATGTCAGCTGGACGGGGAATACGAGGCCAGCAACGGCCCACTGTGGGGAGAGAGCAGAACCGTGTGGGCGATCCGCTAAGTTCTTATTGGTCATTCAGTACATTTAAGTCTGTGACAAAACAGAGGAAAGTAGGTTCTTAGTCAGATTGGCTCTGAATGTGATCAAACGGCCGGCTTGGTTCTGAGTCTATCCGTGTGCATGTCTGAAGCAGATGGAGGCTGTTTGGCATGAAAAGAAGTCGTGTCAGAAAGAGGGAGGGGCAGGGTGTGGTGCAAGCCAGACACAAAGAAGGGTATTACTGAGCAGAAACAAATACCTACCATGAAAATATTCCCAATTCAAAGACTGCTTGTGTCAGAACAGAAAGACAACAGGTAGGGACTAAGTAAGGGTTATTGAAGAGGAGTTTGGAGGAAGAAGAGGTGGAGAAGGAGGAGGAAGAGGGCACAGAAAAGAGTGTCACTGAGCAGGCCCTCAGAGAAAGCAGGGCTAAATTTGTAAGCATCACATTGTTATTCAAAGGGTGCCAATTAGAAAACATACAGAACAGTTATGATGGGAGGGAACTATCCACGGCCTGGACAGGAAACGGATTTCAACCACAGCAATTTAGACGTGAGAAACGCTACTCCCAATCACACGAGGAGCCGTGATGCTGCTACGAGATGCTTTGTTTAGATGAAATATTCAGCAGCCTGATTTAGAAATCCATTTTCTGCCACTGGGCTTGAACTGAGTTCAGTGAGAGAAAAAAATAGCAGCGCGGGAATTTAGAGGAGCAGGAAAGTTGTCAGTGAGGAAAAGGAGCTGAGGAGTTTTCCATCTGTTACCACACGGATGGAAACACGTTCTAGCAAAGACATCTGAGCCAATAATCAAGAAGAAGATGCTCATTGTGGATGTCTTCCTCCCATTGGTACTACAGCAGTTATACCTGCATGGTTTGCACCATAAACTCAGCTGGTCAAGCCCGAACAAGGCACGACACTTCTTTGGGGTATTTGCATCTGTTAGCCAAAGAGGTAGACACAAACACACACACAGAGACAAAAAAACAAAAGAAAACAAAAGGAAAAGGAAAGAAAAAAAAGAAAATGGACACGTCATTGCACAGACAAAAACATGGAGCCAGGGCTTAGACTCAGGCTGGCAACACTGGGATGTCCTCCATAGTGACCAGACCATCAGGCCCCAGATCCTCCAAACCCCGACCTGCCAGTTTAGGACTTCTGACCAATCTCAGTAAGGCTGACTGTACTGTACATCCTGCAATGAAACCCCCGGAGCCCCACAAACCTTTTCTTCATCAACACACACACGCAGATGCCATTCACACAACCACTCACACATGTGCTGTTAATACCCATCTTCCCCAAACAGGAGGTTAAAAAAACAATCAAGACCCAGAGATAGACCGGCAGGGCGTGGCTGGAGGAAGCTGAGAGGTCACGATAGCCTGGCGGGACAGACAAGGGAGAGAGGCGAAGAGGAAGAGAAGGCAGCAGCAGAGAACAGAGGAGGAAGTCCCAGCGTGGAGTCAGCCAGCCTTCACCTGGCCCTGGCCAGTGCAAGCACACACCATACACACCTGCACGGGCCACACCAGTTATTCTGTTGATCGAGCCCAAAGCGCGCTCGACACTTCTTAGGAGCGCTCAGGTCTGATGCCGCAACAAGGAAGGGAAGCCAGCAGAAAGGAGGAATAGAACCAAAACCCATAAAATAACAGAAGAGAAACCAAAAAGAGGAGAGAAATAAGGAGAAAAAACAGATAACAGTGAATCTATGAAGCTTGGCAGTGGCTCATTGTGCAAGAAATCCCCCCAAAACCCCTTAAAGCCAAAATCAGTGCGCCGTTATAGAAGGACTGAACACCATTAGTGTGTTTCAGACATTTAAGAAAGAAAACATGCATGCATATTATTAAATGATATTAATATGGAAACAATCACTGTGAGTCTCTAAACTCTGACTGAGTTACAGCTGGCACATGAGCTCGTTTGGTCGACAGCATATAAAGGGAGCAAATGCAGACTGGATTAATTTACTGTTAGATGTTATCAGTGCACTGTGGTTCCAGAAAGACAAGGTCAAGGTAGTGGAACTAGGCAGCAGCAGCAGATTGAGTTAGCCTCAGCCAGGGGAAGGATTAAAAAGGCTGGAGCCTGAAGAGGGAAGCTACTCTTTAGACCTGGCATCAAACACTTGATGGTTTTCCATCAGCATTGGCTGTCTGCTGCAACAACAGCTGCCAGTCACTTGCAAGCTCCACCAGTAATAGTGTCACTATGAGAAGTGGAGCAGAGCGGCAGCAGGACGCTGTGCTGTAGGTGTTTGAGTCCAGGCCTCGTCTAAAAGGGGGAGCCGGCCAAACTCATGCTGGCCTATAGGAAAGGCACAAGCGCAGCTACTGAAGCACATAGATTAAGGAGGTTTACCCTGACATCATACCTGCACAGTGCTAAGCTAACTGTACACATCATCACTTCCTCAGCCAGTATATGGACATACTCTACGCTAAGCTAGCAACAGTAGATGGAGGTAAATTAAATGAAATAGAGTCTAAACAACAGCAACACTTGAAGGAAAAGAAGGAAGCAAACAAAGCAAAAAAATAGAAAACTTAAGCTTAAACCTGCCCTCACATTGCACATTCATGGATGATAGATCAATAAATATACATTACTTTAAAAGGAAGAAAATAATAATAATAATAATAATAACAGTTAGTGATTTAATACTCAAAATGACATTAGCACCTGTAATCGGAGGGAGTGAAAGGCAAGGGTTTGGAAAATATTCTCTGTGTTCTGAAAAAAAAGAACAGATAGAGAGGCCTTCAAGAAGAAATCCGTCACCAGAACCAGCGCAAAATACATGATAACAAGTCGGCAATGCTCCTTTTCTCACAAAACGATCAGAAGAATGTGAATCATAAGAATGAAGAAAAAATATGGATCAATCACAGAATTAGCAAACCTCCTTAATTCTTAGATGTGAGTGATTATTTGTCTTACGGTTGGTATAAAAGCATGCATGGAAGCAAGCAGGGGGGGGAGGAGGAGGGGAGTAGCCCAACAAGCGCACACATGCACAGTCACACACACACACACACACACACACACACACACACACACACACACACACACACATGAACAGTACAGTAGTGCAGCCGGTCTGCAGGCAGCATGAAACGCACACAACGCTGGCGAGTTAATGGCTTCACGATGCTTCAAGTTCACATTCTCCAAACACATATCACAATACCAGGAGGCTACGGGGCCGGGGGGGAGGGAGGGTGAGAGGGGAGGTGAGGAGGACTGTGGGGGGTCATGCATATTCAGTTGTTATTAGCTAGGGAGAGCTCGGGAAAATGGGAAAAGGGGTAGGGAGGGGGTATTACAAGCAACTCTACCATTTAAATATTGCATTGGGTAGCATAACTATACCAAAAAAAAAAAAAAAAAAAAGCCAGGCACAATAACACACACACACACACACACACACACACACACACACACACACACACACACACGAAAACATAACACAAAAAAAACTAGCTTGACTTTTATCTTGCAAGATGTCACATCTGCCTGACACATGATGGGGCTCTTCTAATATGAGAGATAATTGCAGCTCACTTACCATTGCTCTCTGCTTGCTGCTTTTCCCTTTTTCTCTTCTTCCTTTTCCCCTGTTGGTTAGCCGCCAAAAAAATAGAAAGAAAAAAATAGACACAGACAGGAACCTTAGTTATTATATTGCAGAATGCCCAAAACATGAAACAGAGAATAGGACTCATCTTGGTGTTTACTTATTTATTCATTCATTCTTTCTCTGCCGGTTTCTGTCTTTGCCCTCCGGTTTGCAGCAGCCACTGCAGGCCAGACCACAACTCTCCCTCCTCTCTCTGCTTTGCAGCCTTTTTTTCTCTTTCTGCCCTTGTCTTCTGTTCTCTGTAATCTTTTGTTTTATTTTCCTCTGTTCTGTGAAACATGGAGACGTCTTGACACACTTCTGGTTTGGAGACAGATTTCTCTGGGGCTGCTCATGGAAGACTCCACTGGTCAGCTTGATCCCCAAACTGGACAAAACTGATGAGAATCTGGCATTTATGTGTCAGAACAAAGTGTCCGGGGTGCAAAACATTCACCAAGGACTGATGTGAAAAGGCTTTTGTTGTCCAGACCAGAAGCGTTTGGACGGTTTGTTTCACAGACTTTGTGATTCTTAACTTTCAATTTGAGCTAAAATACTGGATTAACGTCTCAGCCTTAATTTTAAGAACATGTACATCAATATAGCAAGAAGTGTTATACAGAGTATTTTAATGTGAAAGAAAGGCAGCGTTTCACAGGGACTGGGCGCTGAGCGACTCAGCTCGATGGAGGTGAAGCGTCTGAGTAACGATGCAGTGAAGACGTGACCAAAGAGGCTCAGAAACCAAAACACTGTCAAAACAAACACATCCCTACACTGATATATATATATATATGAAAGGCAGCTGTGCACAGTCGAAATGGAAACCACTTGCTACAAGTCTTGTGGACGACCAACAACTGATCTGCATGGTGAGGAACACTCCCTCTACGACTGCACACCAAGTCAACAACGCTCTCCAGGACGTAGGCGTAAATGATTCCTTGTCAACATTCAGGAGAAGACTCCACGACAATAACCTCAGAGGATTCGCCACAAGCTGCAAACCCCTGGTGAGCCTTAAAAACACAGAAAGGCCAGCTAGCAGTCTGTAAACACAAGCTAAGAGTTGTGGAACAAAGTTCTGCGGAGGCTAAATCCGCCTCCACCAGAGTGACGAGCTGAGGAACGAGCAGCTCTTTTCGGGTGTTTTTCCGCCTGGGGAACTGGCGCGCTGACATTTATTGATGATTTCACTGCGGGTGGAAGCAACAGGATGCACGGCGAGGTACCCGAGAACATTCTGTGAGCCGAGGTTCTCCCACATGCATCAGAACCAGCCGACGACATTTCACAGCTCAGCAGAACAGCAGACCCAAACATGCAGCCCAAGCAACCGCAGAGCTTTTTACAGTGAAGAGGTGGAGCTCACATCCAGCTGCATTCCTCCAGCTGACCAAAGGCACAGCCTCCTCACTGAAGGCCTGGAGAGCATCACCCTGGAGACGTCTACGTCTGCTGCACCAGATATCACATGATGACTACGTCTGACGCCCTGAGCTGTGGGTCCTGTGTGTTAGAAGGGCTGACCATTCTCTCTATACTGATGTAGCCTGACTGATCCACTGACTGATGGGCTAAAGCACGGAGCCTTGAACCGTGCAGACGCTTATGGTCTGGACTGGATTTGGCTGAGGTCACTTTGTCCAATCACAGACACATGAGAGGACTTTCATCTCAGGCTACGCAAGAAAAAAGAACAGCAAAAAATAAAGACCTCGTCCTGGGTATGGACCTAGTGAGAGGAGGGGGAAACCAGGCAGTTACGACTTGTAAACTTAAAAACTTACATAGTTGTCTCGTGCTGACCAGCCTGGGTACAGCTGCATGTGGAGCTGTCGTTCTTTCCTGGCCAGCTCGTAGTACTTGGCCTGCTCCTCCCGCGATAGGGCGTGCCACTGGAACAGGAGACAGGGAAAGGTTTCAGCACGGAGAAGGAAACAGGATGCACTTCTGTAGCTGCTTTCACTCTGAGTGCCAGGTCTCACTCAGCCACGGCTCGACTAACATCTAGATTTGAGCTTGGATCCACTGGCTCCTCAGTTTGACTGCTGCTAGTGTTGGTGTGCATCTGCTCCAGGACTCACCCTTCGCCCCAGGATCTGGTTGATGGCAGCGCTTTCCTTCAGCGTGCACTCCGCCACCACCTTGGCCCGCATCTCCTTCATGTAGAGCATGAAGGCGTTCAGAGGCTTCTTTATGTGGACCTGTTTCTTTTTCTCTTCCTCCTTTTTAGCGTCTGACTGTTTCCTGTGGCGGGTCAGAGGACAGGAAGACGATTAAAACAACCCAGAACTGGTTTCTAAGTCATGTCAAAACGGGCGCAGAGGAACGTCTACTCACGAGCTGTTGAGAGAGCTGATGTCGCTGTGGGAGGATTCCTGCTTGACGTTGGGCGTGACGATGGCTGGGTGAGGGATGCCCGTGGTGTGCAAACTGTGGTGAGGGGGCACCATGTGTGGGGGGAACCTAGAGGACAGAAGACTGTGTAAATCGTCAGAATGGACACGGGTGAAATGAGAAGATGGAGCACATGTACACACAAGACTCTACGGCTGGGCTCGGTTCCATTCTCATCTGTCTACCACACATCAACGTAGACTGTTTTAATTTGGTTTCTTTCACAGGAATGGAACTGAACTTCAGCCTCAAGAAACACATACAATAAATGCACATAGAAACGGCCACACATGCATTAGTCACAGCCAGTAAGGGCCGGTTTTTACAACTCAAAATGATACGACACGGCTTCATTTGAGCTCAGAATCCAGCTTCTACAGTCACACAACACACACAGAAAGACTGCAGCAGGTCTAAAACGTGGTTTGGACAAAGCCATATTGTGTGGGAAGTGCACCTTTTGACCAGCCCTCTACACCTGAGCCATGTCTGCTGTCATTTAATCACAACCTGGTAGCGATTCAAAGCATCTCTATCAGGACCCGTGTCGGCGTGAGGCCCGTGTGTCTGGACCGGTCTGTTCATAGCTGCTGCTTCCATATCAGCGCTGAAACAGATGAAGCACGTGTTTATACCTACAGCTCCATCCGTCATCCCATAAATGGGCTGCTGGTTGCCAAGTGAGATTCTAGTGACAATGACTTTTTATATCTGTCAGCTGCAGATGATCACGGCGTAACTTCGCCGCGCTGTGCTGTGTGAGGAAAGTGCATTTTGGCAGTTAAACTGATATGAAGATGCCAGGTTTTGGAGGGGGGTGAAGCCTGAACCGTTATCTCTCATCACCGCAGATTAAAATGTTCTATCAAAGTCTAGTATCACTTCAGGTATTGGGTCTCTGTTTGCTTCCTCCTGTTCTGTTCTGCCAGTTCAGCACTGTCAGCAGCACTGACATTTTTATCTTCATCCCTCTACACTCCTATCATCATTTCATCATCTCCAACCGTTCCACATATCGAGGCCAGAAACCCCTTATTTATGAAATCATTTCACGGGCCAGAACAGCACCAGGACACCGCCGTAGCGCCTCTGTCACCGGATGTGTGACGCTAATTATTTGAACACGTATGTCTGCATGTGTATGTTTACAGCGTCTCGCTTCCACGTGACCAAATTTAAGAGAAGAGAGGAGGATGAAGGAGAAGAGGAAAAAAAGAAGGAATAATTCTTCTTCTTTTTTTAAAGTAGCTCATTATCCGGCTGTGTCTGGCTGCATGGCTCCGAGCCAGAATATAATGATGAGGATAAACTCGCCAGGAACAACTAGTTTCTGTTGGAGGCCATCTCAGGGGAGTGCCAGTGCTCCCCCCTCAAACTCTTTCCCTCTTTTTCTCCTTTCCCCTCTTCTCCCTTCATCACTGACACACTGGTGTTTGTGCCATGTCATCCGCTGATGGGGAGCTCGGCAGCACCGGCTGCATATCGCCCATCATTAAGGCTGCTGCATTTGCTTCACTCGCTCCGTTTCCTCTCCCTGTTCACCCTCCCTCCTTCTCTCTCTGTGCACTTGTTAAAATTTCCTCTGTTCCAAGATCTATTTTTTCTCCTCTTCTTCTTCTTCTTCTTCTTCTTCTCTACTCCTCCCTGTCCCCTCACCACCTCTGCACTCCTTCCTCTCCTCTCTCCATCCCCTCCTCCTCCTCCTCCTCCTCCTCCTCCTCCCCGCTGCCACTGCACGGCCCAGGTTATGGTTTAAACATGACGGCCATCCCTTTGAAGCACGGGGGCATCATCATCATCACCATCATCATCATTGGGGCTCATCAGCAGCAAGCGGCGCCTTGGACCAATTTAAGCAACACAGAGAGGGGAGACCCCCACCCATCCACCCACCCACCCCAACCCCGGGGCTCCTACGTCTCAATCTGAAAGGTAAGAATGGCTGCCGGGGAAGGGCTGGGTTGGGGGGGTCAGTGGCGCAGCAAGCCCAGTGTCAGCCAGTGCCATTTAATTGCCAGTGCGAGGCAGTAGCCCCCGTGCCTGTTTAATGTATAATGATCCGGCCGGTGCGCTTCTCCCGCTCCCCAGGAAAAGAGAGGAGCAGGATGATGGGGGGAACATATCAAAGGGCAGGCTTAAGCGTAAGGGGCAAAGGGGCCTTCACATCCACCCACCTGTCTCACACACACACACACACACACACACAATATGGGGGACCTGCACTGCCTCCAACCCCATTATCAAAATAATGTCTTTCATTTGCTCCGCTCACTGTCTCCACTCTCCTCGGCTCTTTTTTTCTTTTCTCCTCCCTTTTCTACAAGAATGTATTTTTTAACAGGACCTGGGTGTAAGGGGCTCATTGCAGGACTACGAGGTACCAGATTCATTCCCTGCATCCTAATTCAGTTCGGGGCTATGGCACAGGGGACTGATATGAAGCAGCGCTCTCCTGCAAAGACCTAACTCCCCGACAAGAGTACAAGGCCAGGATGTCTTTTCTCTCAGATTTCCTGCAGTCAGCCTGCTCGCTACAAATCGTTTGAGCTATCACAACAGTCTGGCCGCGCTTTGAACAAAACCAGCTAGCTGAAGGCTATGTATGGAGGGAGTCTGCTATTTTGCTGACACAATTAGACAAATTGTTACTCGATTTTGTCAGTTATTCCAATTTTTTTTTCCTCTACTTTGGTTGGAGGGTTTTTTGGGAGGGAAGTGAAGGGGGGGTGGGGGTGGGGGGTAGGATGTGCTAAACCCTTCCCATTCTCCAGAGAACTCCCAGAGCCCTCCATCTATTCAGTTATACTAATTCAATTAGGGGCCTCATCACAGGGCATTAGCTCTTCCCCATGGCCAGTCCCCCCCACACACCCCAGCCAGTATATTCAATTAGCTGCACTGGAAATAAGATGATCACAATGTAGAGGCTGTCATTAAGGGACCAAATTAGCAGTCACTTAAAGCCCAGGTTGGCTGGGTGCTGTTGCCAGATGCCAATGTCTGGACAGATCCAACATCTGACCCTCTGCACCTGAGACCTGCTGGGGATGGGCAGCGAGGGGCCGGTCCGACTCTGGTCCAGACTCCAGTCAGCTCACACGGTGTTTACATTTGAAGAAAGAAAACACTGAGCTCACAAACTCTGCCTTCCGCTGATTCTAAGGGTTATACTTTAAAAAAAGATCTCCCCCCTCCTTGCAACTGCTCCCTCCCTCCATCTACATGATCCATCAGTGTCACAGAGGTCTAAACAAGCCGCCCTCAGGAGCTGCTTTTCCAATCAGGCTGTAATTACACTAAAGCTTGGCTCCATCCCTCGACTCTGAACCAGCCCAGAGTCCCCTGCTGAAGGGGCATGTAGAGGGAGGAGGGAGGAGCAGTGGGAGTGGAGCGAGTGGGAGGCTGTTTGCTTTTTCTTTTTCAGCGTGTGTGTGTGTGTGTGTGTGTGTGTGTTGCTTTTTTGGCTCATCCAGACCCACAAATCACGGGCTTTTAGGCATCCAAAATTAATTATGTTCGCTTCCCACACAATATAGAGGACATGCATTCCTCAGGGGAACAATGAGGAGTTAAACACCAGCTGACAAACACACACACATGTATACAAGATGGCAACAAACACCCCCCCTCCCCCCCATGGGTGCACTAATGTCCACAGCAGCACTTGAACTGGACCCTAATGGGCTGCACCAAAGCGCTAGCCAAGTGTCAGGCCCCAGCTTATATCATGTAGTCCCCCTTCAAAGTGTTGCTGTTTGTTTATCTGTCTGGCTGCTCAAACTCACAGCAAGGACATGCCCCAGCTCATTTCAGATCTGCCTGACATGCAGTGGGGGTAAATGTTCTTCAGGGGCCTCATTAGAAAATGATAAATATAATTAATATTTGAGCATGCTAGCTGGAGCGCCACGCTGGAGAATTGGCCTTTTGAACACAGAGATGGGGAGTGCGAGCTCTCCTTAAGGGAGAAGTTTCTGCTCGCCGTCTGTGCACGTGAGCGTGAGCGTGTGCGTGTGTGTTGCTTGCCCTCACAGCCAACACAAACACACACATATGAGTGTGATGAGCGAGCGAGGAGGAGTGTGTGTGTTTAGCTCCTAGGGCTTAACTCACCTTGACATGGATGCGTTGACAGTGAGCGCAGTTGGGTAGGGGTGTCTAAAACCCCCTGTTGTGATTGGATAAACAGGTTGACCTTGCCTAGGAAGGGGGAAGAAAAGAAGAAAGACGAAAAGGTAAAGGATCAGGGTTGATGGAAGAGGAGAAGCCGAAGCCCTCTGTCTCTCACTTCTCCCCACCGTGGGCCTCTTTATTCTCATTTGATCAGGACAAAAATCTGGGGGATTGCAGAGTGCAGATCAAAGGGAGGAAAACTCTGAACAATTTGAATGCCACAAATCTTGATAGCAATGGCTAATTAAATTTCATAACCCTTCGCTCTGTGTCGACAGAGCGGGGCCCTGTTCCTCCCCAAGCTGGAACTAGGTGTTTTGTTGTGATAATTAAAGACGAAGCGCGGGTCTCTTTAATGGAGCCATCACACTAATTGAGGTCTACACATCCAAAGACAAACAATAATGAATGTAAATTTATACCAAAATAAAGTGCAGCAAATCAAAGGGCGCCATGGCTGCGCTCAGGGCCTCTCTCGGTATTTAGATCGCGGTGAGAAAACATTAAATTAACAGAGCTTAATTTGTAGCCTTTTGTCATATTAACAAGTGTTGACAAGAGTTACCAGGGGAGAGCCCCTATGTGGAATTGTGGGTAAAATACGGGCAATCACAGTTCATTACTCTAATTGAACCATACACACACATGCAAAATAGTATTCGCCACAAAATAGCAAGTTGAGGCTGGCGAGGGCCTGAGGAGGCTCCAGTGGGCCGCCGTGGTCCAGGAGCGAGCGTGATGGAAAGTTAGGGGTCAAGTTTAAGTTTGAGAGAGAAGAGCCGGTCCACGGGGACAAAGCAGAGACAGAGGAAGCTCCTGCTACGGTATACACAAAGCCAACATGCTCACTGTTTACTGCTTCTCTCTTTAATGACTCGTCTTCATGTGCACCTTCTGCTTATTAATCCTCTGAACACTTGGAGCCTGTCCACACAAGTCACAGGGGGATGCAATAGAAAGAGTAATAAAAAAAGGATTCGCTTACTGTGGTACTAACCATCCTAGCGGATGGGGAATCTGGCCGACGGTGCCAGGTGACAGTGGGTAATAAGGAGATATATCTGGAGGATGTGGAGGCCTTGGAATTCCTGTGGAAGAAACAGGATGACAGGAGCAGAGAGGAGGTGGACAGACGAGACGATGACAGAGAGAGAGAACCAAATCACGTCAGTGCTGAATTCATTCTTTGTTGATTTTTCACATCTGAACGGGGCAGACATCACAGGAGTGCAGATGGGAGGAAGAGGAGGAGGAAGAGGGCTTGTTGCTGGCATGTACACAGTGCTAAATCACACTTCCTGATCAAAGGGCTTTGAGGCGGCGCAGCGGCACAATGTGTTGGAAGAGGCAGAGGGGAGAGAGGTGAGGAGAAAACACCAACACCATTCTTGTCACATTTGTCTGGCGAATCAGGAGATTAATGATATAAAATGACTGAGGTTTAGAAGTTAACAAAACACAGCGATATGATTACAGCCTCCTCTGTGATCAGAGAGCTGCCAATAGCGGAGCAGCAACCCAGTCTGACTGCATTCCTGCTGCAGGACATGGACTGTACTGTATGTATATGCACGCACATGAATGGACCAGTACGAGTACGGATCAGCACCATCTGCTCTCAGTTTACTTCAACGCTTCTGCTTAACTCAGATTAACTTCAGCAGCTTTATATTCAGTGCAACCATCAGCTCCGGCACAATTAATGACAGTCTGAACCACGTTTTGGGGTCGCTGGTCTCCGATTGTTCCACTGATCCACACGTTTAGCGTAAAAAACAGCAGCGAAGCTTGTTTGTTATCCCCACTGACGAACAGTGACAAAGATGTCCAATTTAAGGACAGCTCTTTTTGAGGGCTTCGCCAAGCAATCACAGCATCCACGGTGTTGCTTTACTTTCTGTGGCAGCTGACAGGCGAAGAAACTGCATCGACAAGCTGCCCTGAATGAATGCCTTGAAAAGGTCTCGTACACAGCCGGGTGTAAAAATAACTTTGTCTCTCATGACAAACTTGAAACAGGGAACACTAGACATGTGTAACAGCGCGGCGGCGGTGGCAGGCGGGGAGGTGCGCTCAGCAGACCACAAACTCAGAGGCTTTCATTGTGGCTGATGTTCTTCCACAGCTGGCTTTGCCCGTGCCGCTGTGGTTGCAGGTATTCTGGCCGGTGCCACACAGCCAAAGTAAAGCCAGAGGGACGTCCCTCTCCACTGGTGATCTGGGCTGTCCACGTCCACACTGTGGCGTGCAGCGCGTGGCGTGCACCGCGTGGCGTGCACACCGCGGCGCGTGCACTGCGGCGCGTGCACCGCGGCACGTGCACCGCTTTGTGTCTACGTGGGGAAACTTTTCTTCGAATGCCGCTATAACAAAGGCACGTTCTATTAAAAAGGAACGCCTGAGAAACATTATCCCATCGCCACCCAGCGCTCAAGACCTAATATAGCTCATTAATTAATTAAACACTGTGCCCAATTAAGCAGCCCCATTAAGCACTACATTAAACAGCAGCTGGCACATTATTTCCCCTTTGTAAGGGCCATCGTAATAAGGGGACATTATTACCTAAAAACACTGACTGAATTCACCAGAGACCAGTGAAAAGCAGGAAATTATTCCCCACACTGGAAACGCATTAACCTGAAAGGACGGGCTGAATGACAGTTAACAGAATTAAGTGCCGGGTCAAGATGTTCACGGAAATGAATGAAATTACCTGAACATGTTTTCTGAATGTCTGTGGGCACACGGCTACGTCTGGACACTGACTGCAGCACCAAAGGAAGGAAACTGCACTTCTGACAAACACCGAGGTGGTGACAGAAAACCTGCACAAAACCTGAACAACGTGCTCCATCTTCCCTTTCATGGGAGCTTTTTAATACACATTTGAGGACAAGCTTCCAACAGCCCTCTGGTATTTAGACCGAGGAGCTCCAGCTCCAGCGGCTAACTCGTTTGGAATATTGGCAACTGGACTCGTGGTCATGAGAGTTCACGGCTGTTTGCTGAATTCCGTGTTTTACGAGAAGTTTACGAGCCACTGTTTGGGCTCTTGTTCTCAAATGTAAGGCCGCTTTTCCACCGAAACCACGATAATGAGCGTGATGGCTAAATCAATTAGAAACAGATGAGAGCAAGTTGTCAACAAGCAGCACTCGGGCTGACCTTGTCCTACTTCAACCATCACAGTCTTGTAAACAGGCACATTTATGAAGTCATCAAATAGGTAATTAATGGGAAAAATAAGCATTTCGTCTAATTGATTTTCACATTACCTGCATCGTGGCTTTTCAGTGATTGAACTGCTTTCTGAAGAACGTGTCTACAGACTCCATCATGCTTTCTAAGAGCTGACGGGTCTTCTCTAAGCTGTGGGAGCATGTTGCTAACTGAAGCTCTGCTTTGCATATAGATCTCCACATGTCAGCTGAAACATGGACGCAGTGCAGAAACACTCAGGCTTTACCTGTTTTGGGATCCACGTCTGTCTGTAGGTGAGGTGGGGGGTTCCCCGGTGTGAAGTGCTCATTGCTGTAGGTGATCAGAGGCGTGAGAGGGTGCACATGGTGGGGGTGCTGTACCACTGGAACCTTATTAGACTGAGAGAGAGACGAAGGAAGAAGAGAGAAAAGAGGGGGAGAGGAGGACAGGGTGTTAATATTTGGGTTCGGGTTAGAGATTGCAGGCGCCTGCCACAGAATTACAACTTGGTCTCAAAGTTCTCAAAAGAGGAGCTATCAACTTCTGGGTACACGCGAGGCGCCAAACCGCCAAAGCCACAGCGAAAATAGCATGGTTTGTAATTAAAAACACTTCTGTGGTGTCACTCTGGAATCCAGTAACACAATCTAAGAGGCTTGGGGGAACGCCAATTCACATTTAGGTTTGATGTGTGATGAGGCACTTTTAACCGCGGTTGCAGTCAAGTAATCGATCATCTGTAAACCACGAAATCAAGGCAGCGCGTGTAAATCCACAGTCATTAGCCGCTCGGCTCGGCTCTCCAAGCCTCCTTCCATCCTCCCCTCTTCCTCGCTCCCCTTTCCCCCCCATCTATTCCCCCAGGGCCCGGCTCATGGAGGGTATGGGTGTATTGTAATAAAAGGGTTAGGAGAGAAGAGGTGGGGCCCAAAATCCATTTCTGCATTTTTGCCAAATTAGTTTTAGCTATGTAATCTTCTCTTTGTGCTCCTAAGTGGTGCAGGCCCCCTTTTTTCAATTACCCAAAGATTACAGTGGAGCTGTAGGGGTGTGCTGCCGTGGGCCCCCGTGTTAACCGGAGCTCAGCCCCTCTCATCAGGCCGGGCCGGGACGGAGACTAATACACACAGTCCCCCGACCACCAGATAACCAGATTAGAGCTCTGCTGTAGATTAGGCTGGTGGCAGAGGCTGCTCTCGCCTCTTTACCCACACATCCTTATCCTGCCCTCAGCAGTCAAAGAAGCAGCACTAATCAGGCTTATCATAACATGGATGATATGTTCAGGGGAGAGGACTGAGACACCAAGCTGCTCGTGTGTGTGTGTGTGTGTGTGTGTGTGTGTGCTCTCTCGTAGGCCACACACCCTCATTAGCGACTTTAACCCATGCAAGAAAGGAGAAAAAAAGCTCCACTGTGGCACATTTCCAGCAGACTTTGAAAAACCTTAATGGGACTAGATGTTAGCAGGGGGGCACACACAGAAGATGCTCAGTTGCCGATGCTCATTGACAATACAAATGCAAAGCTGTGGGCCCAGGGCAAGACAAATGCGAGCGGCGCTTAATGCTGCAAACTAATCAGCCGCTCGGCCGTTTGAGGCCGCAGTTCATCTCAGGTTTGGTGTGAGAGCCTGAAACAGCCACCGTCCATTCAGAGCCCCGTGCTAAATGTTCAGCTAAAGCAGTGGCTGCTACCAGCACGGCCGTCCAGACCGCTGTGCTGCAGTGGCGGTGGTGGGGGAGTGTGTGCTGGGGAGGGGGGCATTCCCTATTGCCGTGGTCCCAATGAAAGATTAATGAACCCCAGCAGAACTCCAGGGAGGCAGAGAGACTCCTGGGACTCATTCACAGCCCTGAGCTGAAAAGGCTAGGGGAGGGGAGGGGGGAGGAAGGAAGGGAGAGGGGTTTGGGGCAGGTGGGGGGGTATATGTGTTTGTGTGTCAGGGGTTGGGGGGGTGGATTGGTTGGGATTCGTTAAGAAGAAACAGAAAGCCAACGTTGCATGTGGACCAGAGGGATGGAGGAAACAAAACCACCAGGATGGAGGTTATGACAGCTGATGAGGCGGCAGCTACAAGATGGCCTCTGTCTCCCCCCTCTCACCTCTAACCTCCTCCTTCACGACTCCCCGCTCCTCCCTCGGGTAATGATGTGAAAGAATGTTGTCAATTCTTCATCTCTGTGCGCTGAGAAAAGCTTTAGTGGCCATTTAAATGAGTTCTTTTGTCCAGGCAGCCCGGCCATTGAGGAGCCAGTTCAGAATGGCCGTCCACTGAGTCCACATTTAGACACAGGGTGTTGGAGGGTGGGGGGCTGGAGGCCAGACGATTTACATCATAGTCACTTGTGGTCTAAGAGTGTGCGCTTTTTTTTTCTTCTTCTTCTTCTGAAAAGCCCAGAGTGATGCAAATAGCAGCGGGCTGGACTGACAGCTGCCTGCAGCCGGTTCAGCCCGTTACAGGCAACAAGAACACGGACTGAAGTTTTGCTGTAAGTAGGTTGCTGGCTTTTAGTAAGTCTGCTGAAACAAGTGCATTCACTCAGAGACCTTGGTCCTCAGCTCCCATCCTGTGATGGGACCTGACGCACACGTCGGCATCAGCTGACGCCTTCCATCAGCTCGTCCTCACGGCCTCCCATCAACGCACAGCAACATCCACTCCGTCTCCCTCTGCTGACGTCAAAGCAGCACCCGGTGGTCTCTGCGGAGAAAGGGAGGCCCAGCACCTGCCCTGTAGCCACGGCGGGACAAAGCGAGCCGGGCCTCGTCTGGCAGGCTGCTGGGTGCTTCAGCCGCACAGAGCCCACAGAGCCAGAGCAACAAAGGCAGGCGACGTGGGAGGCTTTCACTCTCCCTGTTCCACATAAGCCAGGGGAAAAGAAAGAACACTTCCTGCCCCCGACACCCCCGCTGACTTGCATCCTTCCTACCACCTCTGTCGTTACAACAAACAAATACAGAGGAAATCAAACGCGCTGCTCTCCAGACATGATAACCAGATTTCTGAGTGTCAGAAAGAGATTCAAAAGACCCTGCAGAAAAATTTAAGGGCATCCTCTTGTATGAACATCAATGAACACATTTAGTCTTTCCACATCCAGGACACATCCAGCACCTGCCTGCTGAAGAAGAAGAAGAAGAAGAAGAAGAGGAAGAAGAAGAAGAGGAGGAAGAAGAAGAAGAGGAAGAAGAGGAGGAAGGCCGGTGCAGTGAAGGCCACACACCTAAACACACACAGAAGCAGCAGCTGTGGCCTCTGGTTCTGATCTCGATATGGCCTCTGTTCACTTCTTCTGGGCTCATATGCTCCTGAAACAGAGTCGCTGTCGTACAGTCACTGTGATCACAGCTTCTCTGCACTTCCTGTGAATTGACTGATGGATAACAACAAGCTATTCCTCGGTCTCCAAACTTCTCAACATCCAACTCTGCAAACTCATTTCCCCACCAGAGGTGATAAATGTTCCCTCCAGCGGCCGGCTGCCTAACGCCGGCCGCCGCCGTGTCAGAAGAGCCCTTTGGACCAATGAATGAGCTGCTTCAAGTCAGAGCTCTGGGGAGGGAGAAGGGGAGGAAAAGTGACAGCAGGACGGAGTAAGACAAAGGGAGGGAGGCACAGAGGTGGAGGCCGGACAGGAAAAAGCTGTTGGCCTTGCATTTCCGCCTGGTGGCACCTCGCAGGGCCAATTTGAGGCCTAAATGTGAAGGTGGCGACCTGGCGGGCCCAGTGGGCGGCCGGGCAGGGGGCCGGAGCCTCCGTCTCCTGCTTCATGTCATGATATGATGAGTTGTCACAACAGCCTGCGGGGCGCTAATGAGCTGTAGTGAGGCCGGGGCAGGGGCAGGGGAGGCCGGGGGGAGAGCACCGGCGTGGGGATGACAGTGCCGTGATGGATTGGGCTCCTCCAAATTCCAAAGCAAGCCAGATCGCTGCCTGTCCCCCTCCCAGCCTCACCCAGCACAGGGTGGTCCCGTCCAGAAGGCAACGGAAGCACCACACCGGGCAGCACCGGGCAGCACCGGGCAACACCGGGCAGCACCGGCAGCACCGGGCAACACCGGGCAACACCGGGCAGCACCGGGCAGCACCGGGCAGCACCGGGCAGCACCGGGCAGCACCGGGCAGCACTGGGCAGCACCGGGCAACACCGGGACGGGGCACTATCTGGGTGGAGCAAAAACCCAGAGCACAAACGGCGCCAATCGAACGCATCGTCTGGTGTCGCTCGGTGACATTTGTTTACACGATGGCTGTGGTCCTGTGGGAGGCGTAGAGCGCCCCCTCCAGGCCAAAGATCTCCATCTGCAAGCAAACATCACATCACACCAGCTACACACTCACACACACACACACACACACACACAAACACACTCACACACTCACACACACACTCACATACACACACACTGGTCCTGGTAGCTCAGTCAAATCAATCCTCAGATTCAGGCGGTCTGAAGGACTCCTCAGAGATGAACAGCGATGGGATATGAAATGTTCCCACAAATTAGAGGCTTATCGGACCTTCCAGCGCGCCATGCTGATTAAACCCTGCTACATTACACACATTTCTTCTTTTTGTTAATCATGAGAAGAGAGAGAAAGAAGAAAAAACCCTCCACAATATGAAGAACCTGGGGATTGTAGGGGGAGGAAGAGGATTTAAAAAGCAGATATGGAGGTGTTGATCAGTTTTCTCTGGCAGAGAAGATGCGTCTCTGAGGGCAAGAGGCTCCCGAGACCACACTATATTTAAAAGTTAATCTATTCACTTTGCTGCAGTGACATGCCGGCTGCTTGATCAGAGCGCTGAACAAAAATATTATGTGGGCCAGAGCCTTTGCTCCCCTTCCTCCTGCTCTCTTCGCTCGCACTCAAGTCGTTCGTCACCATTTATTTTCGCTTCCCATCTTTGATAGTCGGCACATCAAATAGAATCGCAGAAAGGACATGTTCGGATATGTCACAGATAAATAAAGCTGCGCACAAATAGCTTAAATATGAAGTGGTGTTTGGTAGAACTGTTGTATTCTGTGAAGACAAATCGCCTCTTAGACACACGTGCCTTAAAGCTTTTCCCTTTTCAGCGCAAACAGCCTCTTGAACTGCCATACCTGAGCTAAAGGGGCTCTCTGAGAGGTGATGTTGTATCGCCGTGTTAAGAGCCACGCTGAATTCTGCCTTTTGAAATGCAATCAGCTCCTCACAATCCCAGTTGAAAGCCAAGCAATTAAGAATGTGAATTGGATGGCAACATTAACAAAGGATATGCTAATGTGTGAGCTTATTGAAATCTGATTTTTACATTTCATGGTTAAGACATGAGCTCCATCAAATAATGTTTTGTCAAGTAAACAGTGTTCCTCTGGAGACAGATCCAGTCTCTGAAAACGCACT